AAGGATTAAAACATTTTTTCAGAAAAAAGGACATTGGCAGAAAACATTTCAACTTATTTGAGTTTTATATAAAACAAAATACTGCCCTAAAACAATAAAGTAACAATCAAAATCAACCAGAATTTATTAACAGAAAATTTATATAAATAAATTATCAAAACTATTTATATAATAAAATAAAAATAAAACAATTTATAACAAAACAAATAATAAATTAAGGAAAATTTAGAACTACATATAATGAAACAAATAATAAATTAAGTAAAAAATAAAACAATTTATAATAATTAAAGTAGTTATGACATTCTTAACAGCAAAAGTGTATATTTTTTCTTCGTAGAAAAATATATTTTCGCTAGTAAATATATTTCAAGTATTTCAATATTTAATTTTATAAAAATAGATATTAAAGTTATGAAACGAAAGTTAAATTTTATTATAAACTATCTGAAACAAAAAGCTAATAATCAAAATAGAAAAAATGCAATAAAAAAAACAATGATAAAATCAAAAATTTAAAAAACAATAATATTACGATGCATATATATATATATATATATATAATACATTCCTTACACCGTCGGTAGTCTATATAGCAATTACTGAGTTGTTAATCAGTAGAAGTACAAAACTGTACTTTTATAATTTATTAGCTTTAGTAAATTTTGAGCTGTTAGTGTTCAATATTGTTTAGATCAAATTCGATTCAGCGTTAAATACCATCCTTGGTTGTCTATGGTTCTTAAAAACGATTTCAAAATACATATAAACAAGAATTTTGAAAACTGTTTCATACCAGTTTACTTTATAAGATTATTTTGTTATTNAAAGAATCGATTCTTTTTCAAAAACGAACTTGATGAATCGATTCACAAAAAAGAGTTGATTGAAATATCGATTCGTTCGTTTTTCGCACATCACTAATTCTGACTACTACTTGACCGCTCGACATATTGAATAAAGCAATATTAGAATTGCTGGTGAATGCTGAGAAATATTTTAGTGATTAAGAAACCTACTCGAATTTCGCTCGATTTGAAACCTGCTCAATTTATTAAAAAAATATCTTGTGGTAACAAGATACATACCCGACAACTTTTACGCATTTGGCGTAAAATTTTATTTCTATCTTTAAAGTGGTAGAAAAATGTATGCTTTTTATATATTCCTTGCATTTATGAACTTAATTTACAATTTTTTTGACCACCACCATTTTTTAAATAATTAAGCATATAAATTAATTTGTAATACTGTCATGGCAGTCCGCATAAGCTTTTTTTAAAATACAATGTACGTTTCTGCCTAAAATTGAACTTTAAATTCTATATTACTAACACTGGGGAATATCCTACTCGAAAGGATTAAAAGTTGGCAGGTATTGAGATATAAGTTCTTTGTAGTTAAGTATTTACTTTTAAATTAATTTTTTCATCACTACACATAAAGATTTAAAGTATCGTATGAAATGCAACTTTATTACATTTATTTTGTGGTTACCCTTATAAAGCGTGAACATAATTATCATTATTCTACAAATTTTACAATCAAATTCGCTACCAATTTTATTAAAACTATTGCTGAATGCGCTGCAGTTGGCATCTGTGGAATACACTTATGAAAAAGTTGAACTGGTTCGATATTCCCCTAGCAGGATGCCTGCCGGTCACATAAATTTTGGCGACCGCCATTCGAATTTCGATGGTTTTTGATCTACCATATGATGCAGTTTCATTTACAGATCTGAAATATTGTGCAATTGGAGTTAGTTTTTGAAAAAAAAGAGTGGTAATTGACAGAATCACTGTGGGAGATTTCTATTTTAGATTCTCGTCAGCAGTAGACACCATGCCTCTTAAGAACAAAGGTACGCAGCAGAAATGCCAACGGCTCCACTTTCTACTAAAGTTTTTATAAATAGGTAGCAAGTTACTAATTGGTAGCGAATAACTAACTTGTTGAAAACGAATAATTACGTCTACTTTTTTGAAAGCGTCTCCACGAGATGATTGATATTTGATATTATACTTCGGATTTTTAATATTTTAGCGAAGGAAAAATTGCTTGATATGAAAAATATTAAACTAATTATAACTTAAATTATCTTATCACTAAAAAGTACCTCACCAAATGCAGGTTACTTGGAAAAACTGAAAGCTGATGACGAGTTTTTTTCTCAAGATTGCTGATAATTTAATAAAAACTTCCAATTTAGTTTTATGCAATAAAATTTAAAAGATTTCAGTGCCACAATAAACGTTAAGAAAATACATTGTCATACCTGCCAACTTTCAGTCTTTCCGAGAATGGATTTTCAGAGTGGTTGCAAAACAATAAACGAAAAACAACTTGACTTAAAAATATATTTATATTTTGATCCCGTTGAAATTCGCCTGCTTCGAATGATTATTATGCTTTCATATATTTATTGTAATTATTTATATGTAGTGGTGGTCAAACTCATTTATAATTTTCATTATAATTCAAAAAGTTAATTGGAATAACCTGAGTATTGCTACCACTTTAAATTTGGAAATAAAATCTTCCGGAAAATGCGGAAGAGTTGGCAGGTATGCATTGTAAATGTACATGAATGCTACCACTTTAAGTCGATCTTTGCCAAAATAAATATCGGATATTAAAGTTGTAGGAAAATGGGATTATTATTTTTTTTCGAATTCCTCCCGAATTCAATTTTATATTTTTTAATCATTGTAAAATGGTAGAAAAAGCACTTTCGCAAACACGTATTTATTGATATTAATTATTGATATTAATCATGCTTATTTAATTTTGTTGTTGTTAGCTATTAGGACATTGGGGGGGGGGGAGACTGTTCTTGTTTTCCCGAGGCGCCATAAATGGAAAGGAATTCTACTTCTGCCCCTCCAATTTATAGGGCGAACCCATTCATGCATCCATTCATTCATCCACAGATCGTAATTTTGACCTGAATCAGAGAACAATCAATTCAGTACTCCCAGACGTATTGATTTTTAATGAGAACGTGGAGGGCTTTGTGACCAGACAGATTTAATCTGCACCAGTCACCATTCTCTACACGGTCTTTGGCAATCTGGATTGGTACTCCACTTCTCACAAACGTGAGTCTCGCGCCCTGCCAACCAAACTATCGCGACCACACTTGGATTTTAATATACTATATTATCACTTTCTCTGCTTCTTATTTCCGGCGTGCCATTTTATAAAAACGAACGTTATTTTTAACCACAACGTTTACGCTTTGAGTTTATGTCACCTTTTGTGTTTTGCCTCTTTTAAAAAGTCTTGTCCGCAGATCATTGGTAGTAAATGTGCGGATATATAGGATGAATATAAATATGATCGCGTTGAATGACTTTAGCTCATTGATGAATGATTTCAGCTCACGTTGAATGATTTTAGCTCGCGTTGAATGATTCAGTGTACTAAATGTAACTTGCAACCCCTTCTATAGTTAAGGATAGTGCTTGCAGCCGAATGTTTCTGTGTTACTTTTTTTAATCTTTCTGAAAACCTATTTTCAGCCATAGGCGAGCATGAAAAAATGTTTTGGGCACAAGAATTTTTGTTTAAAAGTTTTATATTGAAAATTGAATTTGCATGAACAATTTATGCGATTTGACTCAAAATTTTTATTTTGCAATCTAAAATTAAATATAAAACTATGTAAAAAAAATCGAATACCTCACAACTCAATTTTTTTCGACTAATTTTAAATAAAACATTAATAAAAATAAAACTTTACTAAAAATTCGTATAAATATCTTTGTATAAACAAATTTTATAATCGAGTGCAAAAATTGTTCAATTCTTTTTAAAAAATTTTGAGATACGGCGCAGTACGTTATAAGTAATCTTAGCATTGCAGAGTCCAAACTTTAGATCGCCCTCCTGGTCTATCTACGGGGACCGTATTTGCCAGAGAAAGGCTACCCCTTTCATTTTGTGTATCAGGAATCAAAATGCATCGAAAAAAATATTTGTTTATTCAGAGAAAGCATTTTTCTAGGCCTGATGGTTTCGTAATTTAAAATATCGCCAATACGAGTTAATTAGCATGTTTGATGTCATGGAAGAGAAGATTGAGTTTTCGAACTTGATTATCCGATTATTAGATCAAAAATTATTCAGTATGGACCGTTAATTTTTTTGCTCACACTATATGGATTAAACAAATAAAGAAAAGAGCTTTTCTATGCTTGAAATAGAAATTTTATAAAAATGTTGATAAATGTATTAAATTATTACAGAAAAAAACTATTTTGCTTCATTTTTTTTTAGGTACGCTTTATGGAATAACAAATGGAATAGCCACGTTACCAGGTTTTCTTGCACCAGCATTTATTGGATACATTCTTAGCAGTGGAGTAAGTTTTACTACATAATTTAAAATATTACAGTTTTCAGGAAGAAAAAAAATACAACACGGTGGTACAGATTTTTTGTTGCATTTATATAAGTGCTTGCTTACCTGATTTGGGTGTAGGATTTTCGAATCTCAAATTAAATTAGTTTTGTTCCGAAAATTACAAATTTTGTTTTAAAAATGATATTTTTAGTTTAGCTTTTCTTTTCTAAACGCACAAGTTTATAAAGAACAAATAAGGAGAAAGCGCTGGTTATGAAAATATGTAATGAAAACACTTCTACACAAAATCTATGTAAACAATCTTTATTTTCGCAACAAATGTTTTTTAATAATTGGACTGCGCAGACTATTTAAAAAGTGGTTTAGTTGTAAACATGAACCTGAATTCTACCTTAAAAGTGGTTTAGAGAAATTTATCATATGTATTTGAGAATTGAATTTGTGGTGGTTGACAAGAATATTAGACAAACCAATCATATTCAAAATTTAAAACAAATTTTGAGACATATATTTGCTATAACTTTCGTATTTTTACTACATTTTCTATTAAATGTAGTAAAACTATTTAGTATTTTCTATTAAATGGCTCTTTTATAAATTGGTTTACCTTCATAGTGGTCTGATCGGACTACCAGTATGACCTGTCTTTCTGTTTTAGGAGGCTTTGCTCCAATGAATCAAAAAAAATTTTGGCTACGGACATGCTTCTAAAATCGCTTAATTTTACCCAGAAACTAATTTCATATCAGAGTGTGTAAGTATCTGATGAAACAGAAAACAAAATTAAATTTATTCCTCACTGTAATAATCTAACTATTTAAACATTAATTTCATCGTAATTGAATTTGTCAATGAAGGAAATATTTACAAAAACGTAATATATAAAATAAAATATAACTATTTTAAACTGTATAAAACATCTGGGTAAATGAAGCCGCTGCGGCTTTTTTCCTATTCATCATAAAATACCCATATAGGACATACTTAGTACTGTTGAACTACTGGGTTAGTTGAACCTGAAAAAAAAAGAAACGAGAAAGAATAACACGGGTGACAGCGCAGCATGACGGAAATACTTGAACTTGAACTGGAGTAGTGTACAGAGTGCCTGTCCGCGAAGCGGACAATTGACTCTTTCATCTGTGGTGATGCCCGTGAGCGCCTGTAATGTTGTCGATGGAGAGATTGGTAGAGTGGCGAGCGAAAACGCAGAAGCGGAAGTCACGAATTAGTTTATACTAAGAGTGAATAGTCCTTATATATGGTGGTTACTATGTAGTATGAGTGGCATATAAAAGTTAGGTAAAAGACTAAGGGTGGTATGATCGCGAGTCAAGGATCACCCTTCTGGTCATTTCCCCTCTCTGCGAGCATCCATAAATATAAAAGGATGGCCACTATTTGTAGTGCTTTGATAGAATACAATCAGAGAGCATAAATTGGGTTGTGGCTTTTCATATCCACAATAAGCTCTTTATTTAGTAGGGTGTTAAATCTACCTGGGTCATTATTTTTTTATTTGCTATAGAAGCTAGCATTTAATTTGTTAATGAAATTCATTATAGGGTCGATGTTGAGGTCTTTTTTGATATTAATGTTAGGCAGGTATCTGGGTGCACCGGTAATGCGTCTTAGAATTTTGTTTTGAACAATTTCGAGTTTGTTGGTCCGGGTTTTGTTAATAATATTGCCCCAGGCGGGGCATGCATAGGTGAGAATTGGCCTTAGGCATTGCAAGTAAAGTAGACGATTGAGGTCAATCGGGATGGGACGGAAATACATAACATAAATCTGTAGATATCAAAACGGAAAAAGATTTAAAACTGGTAACTAAAAAATTTCTTTTTTTTCTCAGTGTAATGAAATATTTATAACTACCAATATTTTTTAACGAATACAATTTATATAAACAATTGCTCCTAGTTTAACTCCTAGTTGCACTCCTAGTTTAAACTAAATTGTGACTTCCACTTCTCTCCATCGACATCATTACAGGGACAGGCACTTTGCTCTCTACTCCATTTCAAGAAGTAATTGTTTCTATGCCATTAGAACCAGTCCCCCTAGGGCAAATTCACAAATTAAGAGGTCTGGTACCTTAACAAATACAGATCGTCGTCGTCATAGTAAATTTTTTTAGCAATAAACTGTGTGTAATTAAAAATAGGTTGACTCCTCTCGAAAATTATCTATTATAGAAATAGTACTACTACTAGCGTTTTCTTTTTTTTCGTCTCTCTTGAAGGCCTGATCATCCGTAAAACAAATATACAAGAAAAAGGTTAATAGAATTTAAAAAGTTTTTCTTTTTCACAGTAAACTAGATTGCTGCAATGATTATAACAAATTTAAGAAACTAATTTTTGTTGTACCTTAACATGGATGAACGAGTAAATTATGTTGGATTAGTTTTTTTTATTTTTTTTTTAGAGACAAGAAAGAAATAGTTAATTCTCTTAAGCATCAAAATTAACGATAAATTTAGAAACTATGGACTTACCCTTGGGAAACAAAACGCGTTTTTAACTCGTTGAATGCTATGGGAGTCACTTTTAACCAGCACTGAATTTGTTCATAGCGCCACAGGGGTTACAGGTGATCGGCGAAGCCAAGATAATTAGAAACACATAATTTGGGTGAATTTGTAATTTTTTTTTACATTGTTATCGTTACTAAAATGGTTTGAAGAAATTAATGCAATATAGAACACACAAAAATAGTTTTATTTATATACACAGCGATGCAAATTTGCTCCGGACAGCGAATAATATTTTCAAGTGGTAGTTTATAAATTGTGATTCCTAAATTAATAAATTTAATTTAGTAGATTTTTATCCACCATTTTTTCTAAACAATTCATAGGCTCACCAGTTTTTTTCAGTTATATCATGGTAAATCTTTTTCAAAACTAGCAAAATGTGTCCAATATTTGCAAATTTAGTTTGTAGTTATTTACGGTCGTAACCATACTGGCAAGCCGTGTAAAATTAGCGTGGCATTCAACGTGTTAAAGTTTTCGAACGATATTGACGAGTAGAAAATGAATTATGTAGGATTACTGTGTGCCTGAGGCCACTTGCGGCCCTTTTCCATCCAACTCCTACATCAGAAAGCCTCCACACAGTTTTTTATAAGTAGTCTGCGTAGATTATTTAAAAAGTGAACCACTTGTGCGCATGAACCCAAAACCTATTATAAAAGTAAATGAGAGAAATTTATCTTATATATTTGAGAATTGACTCTGTAGTGGTTGACAAGTAAATAAAAACAAACCAATAATATTCATAAATAAAACAAATTTTTAGTCGTATATTTGCTACCATTCTTATTTTAACTAGGTTTTGTATTAAATGACTCTTTCGGATAGTGAAAAATCTTTCACAGTGGTCTGATTGAACTACCTATTAAAAAAACCGTGAGAAGGCTTTCAGTTATAGTAGGCGTTGCCTTTTCCCATTCATCATAAACTTGTAGATATTTCGATGAGCTGGTGGAGTTCAAATGAAGTATATCGATGCGCACAGTCAACCGAGAGCAGGGCTGCCAACTATTACCCTTTATTAAAATATAAAATTGAATGATAGATAACTAAAAATGAAAGTCAGTAGAGTATTTTGGTAGCACTTTCAAAGCCTCACGTTGAGTGTTGGAACAAAAGTGGCCATTTAATGTTTTAATGCACTTTTTTCAGTTAAACTTTTTTTCCGCTAAACAACATATAAATGATTTAAAAATCAATATTCAAAGCCACTTCGTTCCAGCTCTTCAATGATGAGACTTTTAAATTGTTGGCAAAATTACCAAAACTTCTGAAAGCTTCGGTTTTTAAATATGTACCACTTTATAAAATATTTTGCATAGAACGTAGTAGTTGGCAGACCTGCCTGTTTCAATAATGACTGTTAACTATTGGGGGAAAATGAAATAAGTATTTACCTACAATAACACCTCAACAGCTACTTCACTGCCACTAGGAAAAGCTTCTTTAAGCGAGGTGTTATGTTTCAATTGTAGTGCAAGCAAAAACAATTCTGATACATTGAACATTTCCATACTAATGCGACCACTCTATGATAATTTTCCTGATTAATAAATAACCCTGAAATCGTAACTTATCAACGCCTCCTACTAAGGTTCCTACACTATCAGAGCTGACCTATGAAGCAATATTGGAGCAAAAAAGTTCGCAAGTTAACATTACGTTAGTATTAGTTATGTTGTTACAGAGATGCCAACTGCTCCGGACACGCCAAAATAATTTAAAAAACGGTAAATAACAACAAAGTAAATTTTGCAAATACTTGACAATATTTGCATGTTTTTAAAAATGTTAAGCATGTAATAAGTATTATAAAGTGGTGAATTATATAAGCCTACGCATTGTTTAGAAATAGTGGTGGATTAAAATCTACTAAATCGAACTTATTACGCCAAGAATTACAATTAATAAACTACCACTTGAAAATATTTATTCGCTGCTCTTATGTTAGCGCTTTGCTCCAGCAATAAATGATAAGTCGGCCTGTCTAATTCAGGGGCTCTACCTCCTACAACTGAAAGCCTCCACACGGTTTTTTATAGGTAGACCGATCAGACCACTATGAAAATAAACCAGTTTACGAAAGAGTCCTTTTATACAAAATCTAGTAAAAATAAGAAACTGATAGAAAAAATATTTTTAAAAATTTGCTTATTTTATAAATATCATTGCTTAATTTATAATTATGATTAGTATATATTAATATATTGCTTAATTTATAAATATGATTAGTTTGTCTTATTTACTTGTGTACCACTGCAGATTCATTTCTCAAATATATCTGATAAATTTCTCTCAATCACTTATAAAATAGAATTCGGGTTCATGCGCACAACTGGTTCACTTTTTAAATAGTCTTCACAGACTATATATGAGAACCGTATGGAGGCTTTCTGATGTAAGAGGTGATGACTGAAGTCTTACCCGCATCATCCAAACTTTTAATGTCTGTTTCTTCCAAGCAGCATCTATAAAATTATTTAAAACCTGGTCTGCCAACATTTAATGCTTTTGAGAATTTTTTTATAATGGTAGCTAAGTTAAAATGTATTAATATTTGCTTTGTAAATTTCATTCAAAGTCATTTTCCACACGGTAATGAACTAAGCGTTTATATGAAACGCTAGTTTCCTCTAGTTCTTTCGTGGCTTTCTTGGTCGAGCAGTATCACCTGCAAAACTCTGTGCAAAGAAGGTAACGTGTTCGAATCTCGTTGTCACCCTGGAAGTATCTTCGTGATCAAAATTAACAGACATTCTTACAGCTGTAGTGGTTGATTGGTTACCACTTAATAATATATTAACCAAAGATAATAGTTATTGGTAGTCTTAGTTGGAAATTTTAATCAATAGTTTTTAATATTCATTTTGACTTTAACCATTGTTATTAATTTTCAGCAAACTCTGAAAAACTGGGAATTTGTCTTTCTGAGTTCAGCTGCATTTCATTTTCTAAGTGGTTTATTCTATATCATGTTTGCTTCTGCTGAAGAACAACCGTGGAATGAAGTCAAACCAGAAGAATCATCAGTGACCAGAAATGACTCTCTTTATAAACCAAAAGTACAGTATAATGAATACAATAGCTGATGCATGACCACTGACCAGAAATGACTCACTTAATAAAGCAAAACTACAATAGCTGATAACCAGTGACCGGAAATGATTCACTTTAAGTGAATTTACAATATATAGTGAATACTGTAGATGATAGATGACCAGTGATCGTAAATGACTTCCTCTATTTATAGAGGGAGTCATTTAATATAGTGAATATCTTCAATATAGTGAATGTAACAGCTGGTTCATTTTGAATATATTTTTAAATTAAAAAAAATCCATCTAAATATGTTAGTTCAAGCTATTTCCTTAACTGTAACTTATTCGGAAAAGAAAAAAAAACTGGTTAAAAGAACACTTTGTCTTAGTTATACTTCAGGTAGAAATAAACTTTTCGTGTCTTCCGCCACGCATTAACAGAGGTAATATAAATACAGTCAACTCATTTATTTGTTTTAACTAATAATTAGTAGTTGTTCATTTTCCTCAGAAAAAATTGAAAATAATACGTTTTTGCAACCTGTTGTTTTATCTTTTCCGAATAGGCAACAATCCTCTGTGTTCCAAAGAAAATGATTTTTTGAAAACATTTTGTAATTAACCCCTTGGGGACGGGTAATTCATAAAAGCTTTTGTACAAAATCAGAATAAGGATGTAAATAAATAAAAAACGGTAGTTTATATGTAGGCTTAAAATTTGTCAGAATTACTATGCTTTGACTTTAATTATTGTTATTTTAATCATATATATAATTAATGTCAGTTGTTGTTGTTGCTAATTCCCATCTGGTCTGACGGGGTCAGACCAGATCAATAAATCCGTTGACATTAAGAAAATCCGAAACCAGAATGGGAGAGGAATGAATGTCGTTCCAGTCCAGCCCTAAACAGTTCAAGATGTGCTCAGGTGATGCCTGGTTTTGTTGGCATTTAGGGCAAAGAGGAAAGATCTTTTGATT